ACAAATAAACACATCTTGTTCTGTCAACCATTGTGCTCTCCCTGAATTAAAACTACATTATAAATTAAATATGTCAACATACTCCCATTAGAATGAGAAAGCCAGTGAAACATCTTAGTGAGTTTGACAGTTGCATGCTTATGTATGCATGTGCATATGAGCGCAAATAGCATTGAAATATCCTCCCTTTACTTCTAGAAAGATCCCGTTGGAGCCTGGGGTATGCTTGATCTAAACTGTGAATCTCAAGCCCTCAGTAGAAGCATAATAAACAATAAAATGATGCTAAAACATATGCATGAATGATTGAATCTGTTTCGCAGTTGTATATATAAAAACACTCCTGTTTTTCGCACGCCTGTCAATAATCAAAGGTTTTATACTGAACATGAGGGCTGATACGGGATGCATTTACCCATCCAAGCACAGATCAGCCTTTGGTCAAGCTTGTGTGTAAAAGAAGTTCAAGCATTTTAAGTTTGTGTTAACTGAATGCATTTTGTGTCAAAGCAACAAGAAATGTGTTAATTGCATTGCCTACACAGCTGGAAGTTGTGCTAACTGTGTTAAGAGTTCAGGAAAATTGTTAAAAGTATTGAAGAAAATTGTCATAGCGATCGTAAAAAAAAATGTAATCTTATAGTGTAGATGAAAAGAAAAAAAAATGCATTTACCCAATATACTATTACAGATGTATAAACATTATATATGTTTATTTTTATATATTTATACATAGTAATACACAGTATATTGGGTATTTGTTTTTTTAAATCTTCACTATAAGATTAATTATTTTTAAATTACTGTTAAAAAATAATCAGTAAATAAAGTGTTAAAAAATAAATCATCTGAGACTTTTGAACAACCCTGTATATAATTTCTGATTTTCAACAAACTCCCAGCAATGCGATGGCTTCATTTATGTTTTATATGTTTATAAATATATAAATGTATATAAAATACATGAAATTAATAATAATACAATTAAATTGTTTTTCTGCTCAGAAGGCTGAACAGGGAGAAAACAACAGATGAACAGATCAAAGAACCAAAAACATGATCATAATAAACTCACAAAACATACATACAGATACATAAAATAATTGAGCTTAATTTATTTAAACCTGGAAATAAATAGAGAGTTACAGATTTGGAAAAATTTCAAGAAAAGTTATTATGTAAAATGAATAAAACATATTTCAGATTCTGGACTATTTCAGGTCAAATATGTTTGAGCAGAAGTTGTGCTAAAATATTTTTTTTCTAAAGTCAAACTAAATTATTCATTAATAATGTATATTGTTTATTATGATATCAGGACAGTTGTATCACACTTACATTTTAGATTTTATATCACCCAAAATATCAAAACGAATTTTAATTCTATTCATCAGGTATTCGAGAGGTGTGTTCAAGTCAGTGTATTTAAGAAATGTAGAAAAAATGGGTTCCGATTTATTTTTCTGTGTCCTTGTTACATAAATATGTACTGAGTATATGAATTAACAGCATGTACTTACTACAGGTTTAGGGCTCAGTTTAATGTTTTTAATTGCTTGTAATTACGAACTGTTATTACAAGGACACATTAAAATAAAGCGTCCCCCCCCCAAAAAAAAATTAACATCACGCCACTGACCCTGAACAGTGGTCTCAGACTTTGAACCCCACTGTACACATCAATCAATCAATCAATCAATCAATCAGCTGTAATGCTTTATTGGACTGGTGCAAATGAAGACATCTGTACTGCGTGAAGGAAAGAGAAACTAAGCACGAGTCATTTTACAGTAATCTACAAACCAAACATTAACTAGCTGCGCTTATTTATTTATTTAGTCATTTATCAGACGCTTTTATCCAAAGCGACTTACAAATGAGGACAACAGAAGCAATCAATTGTAGTATTAAAACAACTAAAAACAGATCCAAAACTAAAAGCTAAAACTTTATAAACACTACCTATACACATTTTTAAAATAAAGAAATTAAATAAAAATGACACATGCATACAACAAAATTTCAAAACTTAACATATAAATGAAAAACAAAAAAATAAAGCTAAAAACAATTCAAAATAGTAAAGAACAAAAGGTATGAGTATAATAATGATTCTAGCATAACACCAAAAAAACAACTACATATGGGTATGTACAACCATAAACACACTAGTGAGTTAGTTGTGAAGCCAATCGTCTGGTTGAACTTACTTCTCCATCTTGGACATCTCCTTCACCAGCAACATGCTAACAACATTCTAATCATGCTAGAAACATGCAAGCAGCATTCTAATAATGTTAGAAACACGCAAGCAGCATTCTAATCATGCTAGAAACACGCAAGCAGCAT